AGAGAGAGAGAGAGAGAGAGAGAGAGAGAGAGAGAGAGAGAGAGACACCAGGTAGGAAGAAGTAAAGCCTATGCTGTCCCTTTTTCCTTTTCTTAGTTCACGTTTGTGACACATAACAAACACGCTCTTCCTGAGGACCTGAGAACGCACACAGCTCATCTTGGCCACTGAGTTTCCCCATCACGTTTCTCTCTCCATCTCTAGAGCCCTTTTCACCCGCAAGGGTCTCCCTTTCTGTTTTCATCAGGATCACAAATTACAAAAGCAGTGTAGCTCCAGATTAATTGGATAGCAATATCAAAAGACTGTAGGAGGGAGCGGTAGTCTGAGGCTGCAGGAAGGCCTGGAAGCAGGAGTGCTGTGCCTGCCCGCTGCACAGCAGGGCTTATGTCGAGTGCATATTACAATATATTCTTCCAATGTCTGCATGCACTTAAGGGCTCAGGGCAAATCAGAGCATGAGAAAGCAGGTGAGGCAGAAAGAAACTGGCAGCACAGAAAAGCGTTGGCGTTGTGAGCCCTCTCTTTCATCTCAGAAAGCTGTGGAAGGCTTGGGTGCATCACGGCTGGTCTCCTTTGCTTTGCAGGTCATGGATCTCAAGGGCCAAATGATCTACATCGTGGAGTCCAGCGCGGTCCTGTTCTTGGGCTCACCCTGTGTGGACAGACTGGAGGACTTCACAGGCCGAGGGCTGTACCTGTCTGACATCCCCATTCACAATGCTCTGAGGGACGTGGTGTTGATCGGGGAGCAAGCACGCGCACAGGACGGCCTGAAGAAGAGGCTGGGGAAGCTCAAGGCCACACTGGAGCAGGCGCACCATGCTCTGGAGGAGGAGAAGAAGAAGACGGTTGACCTCCTGTGCTCCATATTTCCCTGCGAGGTCGCGCAGCAGCTGTGGCAAGGGCAGGTGGTGCAAGCCAAGAAGTTCAGCAACGTCACGATGCTGTTCTCGGACATCGTGGGGTTCACGGCCATCTGCTCTCGGTGCTCCCCGCTGCAGGTCATCACCATGCTCAACGCGCTCTACACTCGCTTTGACCAGCAGTGTGGAGAGCTGGATGTCTACAAGGTGAGGCTGTCCCGCTTGTCACACAAATGAGAGGCTTCCTCGGCAGGGTCCTGCGGGCCTCGTCCCAAGAACTGGCATCAGGCATTCATTACGTGGGTGTTCTCCAGCCCAGAATAGCTGCACAGCAGCTTGAGGTAGAGCTAATTGTTCCCGGAAAGGGCTGCCACATTGTAGTGTCAAAGAATCAGCACCGAATGGAGGGGGAATGGGCTGAATGGAGGGAGGCCTGGAAGGGGCAGAGATCGCAGTCACTGGAGCCGCCGCCTCACCGTGGAGACAATGGGGCTGCTGGGCGTGCGATGGGCCGAGGTCTGCATCATGTGGGAGCGCCTCAGGCTCTGCGTGTGTGGAAGTAGAGGGCTGTGAGAATCGTAAGGCTGTCCCCAAGTAGATGAGTACAGAGTGCACGTGTTTCTCACTGTCAGCTGCCATTAATCAAGGGCGCCCTCGGAGGCGTTCTTTACAGCCTAGCCGAGGGCCAGGATGGGAGCTGAGTCTTCAGATTGCATCCTGCCATACTGGCAGGCTCAATGAGCTTTCTCTCCACTAAGAAACAGAAGTAGGCACCCACAGTGTCTTCATGCAGGAATAGTACGTTCCCTCCCATAATTAAGTAAGCAGGATTGTTGCAAAGATTGACTACCATAGGCAATGTGCACGGGTGATCAAAACATACAGTGAGTGTTTAAATTTATGTTTTAAATTTTAAACACTCGTCCCCTTACTTTGAACATACTTAGCCCATCCTCTTTGCATCTTTCTGAGGTATTTCTGGACGCTCTCTTTCTGGAGTGTCTTTACAAGGTGCAATTAAAATTCAGTGAGTGCAGCTGCTGAGGGCGCCCAACAGAAACCCAGGCTGATAAAAGCACTGGGGTGCATCCTCACCCACCTGGCTCACTGTTTCTGATATTGGGATGCTTCTGGGTCTCCCCACAGCCAAAGTGTCTGTGACAGGTGAACTTCTGGGACCCAAACGGGACCTAGAGGCACCCAGGCTAGCGCAGAGAAGGCGAAAGGAAGGAGGAGACTGAGAGCTATTATGGATGCCGGTCCTGGAAGGGAGGGGCAGATGAAGGGCGACAAGTCTTGGAGGGGTTCCGAGGGGTCCTGAGAGCATGGCGGAAGGTCTCACTCACGTGCCGGGCTTCGGCTGGGTCTGGAGGGACCGAGCGGGCCTAGAGACGCACCTTTACTGTGATGAACTCCTCTTTCATGCTTCACTGCACTGTCAGCCAGACCTCACTAGGTATGGCCGAGGCACCCAGGATTTATTGAGTGCCTGTGATTAGCCAGGTATTATTTGTTGCAAGAACTTATACAGAAATGACTGTCCCTGACACCCAGTAAAGACTTTTTGTAATATAACTATAAATAGGAAGACAGTAAATGAAGAAATTTTAAGTACTGTTAGCTCCTTTAGAATTAAAAGCTTTTACTGCTTTAAATTATTTTGCCTTCTTTTAT